TTTAAGTGTCACTAATTAGAAAAGTAAAACACACTAACTGGCACGCATTTGTTTTGTTTGTATCCCTTCCTTGTAAGGCATAAAAGTAACCTAGCTCCACAGGGACATCTCAGCCAAGTGGGCACCATTAGCTTCCTGGTTGATCCTGTTTTCTAAGTACGCAAGTGGTTGAGGCAAGAGATCTTTGGATCCCAAAAGGGATGCTCTAAATACGCTGCCACAGCAGACTTTCTAATCCACAGGCTCCTTGTAGAGACTTATGGACCTCTACCCTGGTCTATTTTCTCTCTACTCCTTCTGTATCCAAACAGAAAACCTGTGTGGAGGTACCAAAAGGAAAAAGCATGGAAGATGAAAAGTAAAAGCAACCCAGAGGAATAAAAGCAGCATGCAATGAACTGAATGGGAAACAAATCTCTTCTTTTTAGACCAGTCACTAAAAAGCTCAAAGACCTTACTAAGGGCATTTAATCTTTCAGGACCTCAATTTCTCTACTTTACGAGAAGGGACTTACACTCCCTAAATGATTCCCATGAGCATAACTTACCAGTTTTCAATTTCTGTATGTGTAATTAATGACCATGTCTAAAAGGAAGAGACTTAATAGGACAGGAAATTAAATAGGGATGGGCAAAAACAATTTGATTCATGAAGGTAACCACGATCAGCTTCAAAAACAGTGTTTAAAAGATACACATGGTGGTGCATGTCTGTAATTCCAGCACTCTGGGAGGCTGAGGCAGGAGGATCACAAGTGAGACTAGACTGGGCAACTTAGGGGCTGAATGAGACACTGTCTCAAAGTATAAATTTTTTTTTTTTTTTGTCTTTTTGAAACAGGGTCTCACTCTGTCATTTAGGCTGGTCTTGAGCTCACTTTGTAGCCCAGGCTGGTCTCGAACTCACAACGATCCTCCTGCCTCAGCTTCCCGAGTGCTGGGATTACAGGCATGTGCCACCACGCCCAGGTCAAAATATAAAATTAAAAAAAGGGTTGGGGGATGTAGCAAAGTGCAAAGGTTCTGTGTTTCATCCTCAGTACTAGGGGAAAAGCAAATGCTTTTGGGGCAGGGTTTAGCAGTACACACCTTTAATTTTAGCTACTCTGGAGGCTGAGACAGGACAGTGACAAGTTAAGAGGCCAACCCAGGTAATATAGCAAGATTCTCTCAAAATGAAAAAAGGAAAAAGTAAAATAAAATGGAGACTGGAGATATTGTTCAATGTTCCCCGTGTTCAATCCCCAGTATCCCACCCACCCACGAAGAATTTTTTTGTGAGTAACTGAAGCTCCATCTTCCCCCTCGCTAAGTATATAACATCTCTCTTTTTTTTGGCAGTACTAGGAGTGGAACCCAAGGATGCTCTATCACTGAGCATGCTCTATCTTCTTCCCCAGTCATTTCTATATTTTAAGTTTTAAGACACGGTCTTGCTAAATTACCCAGGCTGGGGTAAATTACCAGACTTCAATTTGATATTCTCTTGCCTCAGCCTCTCTAGTAGTAGCTGTGATTATAGGTATACACCACCACATTCAACTAATCACAACAAGAGGCTTCATTTTATTTTAGAAACAAAAAACTCACTGTGATGTTTCGCGTTTTCAAACGTACACATTCCCTGAACTTCAATTTTATTTGGTGATGATACACAGAAAGGAGGCACATCAATGTTGACTGACCATGCCTAAGAATAAGTGACATAATGGGACAAGAAATCAAACAGATCACAAAGTAATATTTAGGGGAGGGAGTCCCGTAAAAATACAATAACTGTAGGCATGTAAAATGGTGTGCATGCAGGGGTTTCCATCATTTACATTTTAAAAAGCATCTCGCTGTAAGAATCAACTGTATGTACTTTACGCTACTGCTTAGATTTGAATGAGACCAATGTTAGTCTTCATCCCAACATCTACTTGGTTGCTGCACTTTGCAAGTTGCAACTGCCTCCCAAACTTGAACAGTGACAGAGATCATGTGACCACAAAGTAAACAAAAAAAAATGGCTTCAGTTTACTTTATAAATATTTGTTCCACAAACTAAAAAAGAAATCTCTGCTGGCAAACATGGTCAACCATTACAACTTACCTGCATTATACTGCAAATCTCAGAATCTCATCAGAATATGCTTCCAGTTTTTATTGAGAGGTTCCTAAATCTAATGCTGTTTTAAAAACAGCATTCCAGCTAAGCATGGTGGTACACACCTGTAATTCTGGCACTCTGGAGGCTGAGGCAGGAGAACTGCAGCAAGTTGAGGCCAGCCTGGACTACAAAGCAAGACCCTGGCTTAGCATTCCCACTTCATCTTATTCTGAGGCCCTTAATTTTTGAACAGGGGATAATATTCTTTCATAGAACTCTTGATAGATCAAAGTGTGATGGTCTCAAAGTGTGCATGAAGTAGGTAGGTCCTATCAGCATAAGTAGAAACTTGCAGGTAAAGGTATGTGTGTCAGGTTTAAACAAAGTACTTTGTAGATATACTAAAATATCGGCATTTTTTTCGATGCTACTCCTATCTACATAAACAATCTCCCAACTCACTTGGAACAGTAGCACCTAATACTTATGCAACAGTTCATAATCAGCACTTTGACATACATGATGTCACTCAAGACTCAACACTAAATAAGGAGTTATTCTGAGGTCTCTTTTAAATGTGAGGAATCTAATACTAAGGTTCTGACTTGCCCAGCACCACAAAGCTGGTGAGAGCTGAGCGGGAACTGAACACACTTCTCTTAACTTTAAATGGTTTGCACTGCGCTGCCTCAACACATTACCAGAGTAAAAACAGTCCACAGCTCAGACCTCTCCCAGGCTCTTCCACACACGTCCCCCAACCACGGTTTATAGTTAAGCTCTAGAAGGCCTTTGCTCTTTCTGGAAAAGTTTTCTTCACTTTCCTGGAAACACTTACCTGCCTAGAGTATTAAATGAGGAAACCATATAAATGCCATTCAACATACACCAGAAAATAATCTTAACTTATTAGAGGCTTTGCACAGGCATGCCAGTGTGCATTTTTCCACATAGTGGGTCAGATTCTCTAAAAGTCCATTACTCTAAAAGGGTGAAGAACCTTAGATATTTAAGTAGCTAAATCCACACCTTTCTTAAGTTTATAGAGCTTTTTATCTTGGCCTCATGCTGTATCCCACCTTCACTTTACTTGCCCTATTCCAAAGCTTCTCCAAGAGCCAACAGGGTCTTTCAGTGTAATTATTTCTAAAACCTGGAACACATGTAACATATAAACCAGTGGCCTGTAAAAATAAATTTAAATTAGAGTAATTAACCCTTATGTAATACTTAACACATACTCCTTTCTCTTAGGATTTTAATTCCCAAAATGAGTATTTTCTTACTATAAGCATTCTAATCTCCCAAAAGGAGTTTCACAAATACAATTACATTGGACTCCTAAAATACCATTCTTCACTAAGTACTCTCTAGATTACAAAGACAAGGTAGCATGCAAGGAATTCTGAATCTGTTAGGCAATTCAATCAACTATCATACCAGAAGGACTTAGAATTTTTTGCTGGGGGGAGGAAGAGAGTCGAGTGTGAGAGAAAATGAATGCAGTACTATTGTCTTATTGCTTAAAAACTCTCAGTCTGAATCTGTAACAGATTCCTACCAACCACTGGACTTGAACATCTGAAGTACAGTCTCTTTTCATCTTAAATAGAGCTTTTCACTCCAAATCCGTACAAACAAACTTTGTCCTTCAATCTTTCAACTCCTCGGTAGTTTTTCAAGGTCACTTTTCTGAGCAACGACAGAGGCCTGTATCCAGGAACTTTGATTGTTAACTACCATAGCTAACTCGAAGAGCCCAAAATCTAAATCCCTAGCGATCCTCTCAGGTAAATCCTTTACTCAAGAGGAAGGTAGGGAAGGCAAATAAATCAACAGCCTCTAAACTTCTCCTTTAATAGGGCCTGCTCCTATTCCCTAACCAGAGACAGAGTGCTGCTGGCTCACTGCTCTACACAGAGTCTGCTGCAGAAATGTTCCAATGACCTTCATTCCATATTTGCAAATAAAAAGAAAACAAAGAACTCCTTTTTAAAATTGGGTGTATTACAGATCTTAGTACATGGGACTGAAGATTTCACTATTCACAAGAACTGACTGTTAATGATTAGCAACCTACATTAGCTTCATTTACCAAAAGAGGGAGAAATATATCAAGGGCAAAAGCTATGGTGCCTCCACTCTTAACTTTCCTATTTACAAACTGCAGATAAATTAGTATTTTAAACATTTCATACTGAAAATGAAAAGCATTTTGCTCAGATTATTTTAAAAAATCAAATCAACACCTGACAAAATGTTTGAAATTGGGAAGAAGATTTGCTCTGATTACTGCCAGTATAACTGGACAAGTATATTTCTAACCAGCATTTTAAGCTAAAGTGTGCATTTTAAAATAAAGAGTGTTATTAAATCAATACTTATTAGAATCTAGAGGCAGACAGGTAGATTTTAAAAGTTACAGGAGAATTTCACATTGGCATGTGGGCCCTGACCATTAAAACCTGCATCGGTGCAAAACATATTTTCACACAAATTTCAAACAGTAATAGCGTTGCTTCTATCTCTAAAAACACAGATGTCAACAGAGTGCACGGAAATAGAGAAACTCTTAAACAACTTAGAATTTACAGGAAAGGTCCAGTGCATTTGAACAAAGGAAAATTATTTGGAAAACAATTAAGTTTACCCAATGCAAAAAGAAAGTACTTTGCTTCCATGTGTCCCTGAAAAAATGATTAGCCCTTCTTGTACCTGATACTCAACTAGGAAAAGAAATCCTAGCTGAAGGACATGCAAAATCTAAACAGACCAAGGTATTCTAGGTGCACCAAAAGGTATGCATGGAATGTAAAGTGGCCATTTTCTCAAACAGTGCAACTTGTCTACACTCTCTGAAGCTAAACAGTTTCTATCATTTCAACACAAAACAAAGAATTAAACTTACCGGGAACTGCATTAATTTTACATGTAGTTATTTATATCACCTCGGACAGGGAGAATTTAAGTCACTCCTATCCCTCCCCCCAAAAAGGACGGAGGAAACAAAAGCAGCAGGAGATGCAGAAACCTGAGTCTGGAATGTCCACTCCAGTGAAAACCCGAAGAGCTGTCCCCCAACCCCCCAACAAACTATTCGCCATTTTTCTTTGTCTTTCAGCTGACCCCTGCCTCAGTGAAAAACTCCGAGGCTCCAATGAAGCCCTCCAGCCTCCTTCCACTTTAACAGTCAAAGGCATTCAATCTAGCCTGCTATTTGACACCAAACCTTGCCTCCAAAGCAGTCCCATTGGCTGAGCTGTTTTATCAGCTAAGAACACAAAGCCATGATTGGCTGTTCACGTCATCAGTTACCTCTTTTGTACACTTCCTGTTTTAAAGTTACCTTGAGAAGCAGAACAGGGGTCAAGACTCATACTTCAAACTACCCGGAACTTAGGAACTGGAAATGCTCCAAAAATGTACACAGCAAATGTACTAGGGCTTCATATGCTTCCAAGACAGGGTACTGCAAATTTAGAATTGTTCGTAAAAATCAAAGAAAAAGGTTGTTACAGTTTCCACTGAAAGGATTTCTTATTGGCTGTCAGAGTTCCATTTAAAAATTTTAAGGTAATTTAACTGCTTCGGATTGGTCATCCATGATGATGTCTGTAAGAGATTGCTACTGTATCCTATGACAGTAAGCCAGATAAGCAATGTGCACAAGGTTAGAAAATTATGACTAATTAACCTTCATTTTATGTCAAGCACTAACAGAACAAAAAGAAAACTGGGTAGGGCTAATCCAAAGAAAACACAGTGCCTTTAATGGTAACAAAGAGTGATATTGATGCCCACAGGCTAGCTGCAGTTCTCTAAAAGGCATCTGTCAGTACTTCATGGTAACTTTAAAAGTACAGGTTACTCTGAGGACAAAACAGATGATTCCAAAACACAAAGTAATCAAAACGGGAAATTCAATGTAACGTATGAAGCTGATGGCAGGGGCAGGAGCATTTCAAAACAGTCTACCAAGCCAAGCACAGTGGTGCACAGCTATAATCCCAGCTTGTGGGGAGGAGGTTAATCATAAACTCAAGGCCAGCCAGCCAATTCAGAGACCTTGCCTCAAAATAAATTAAAAAGGAGCCAAGCATGATGCTACAAGTCTATAACCCCAGTACTAAGGAGGCTGAGGCAGAACAATTGCAAATTCAATGTCTGTCTGGGCTACATACTAAGACCCTGTTTCAGAAAAACCGAACAACAAAACAAAAATAAAATAAAATGAAATAAAATAAAAAGGGGCTCGTGATGTAGTCCAGTCCTAGAATACTTGCCCAGCACATTCCAGGTCTGCATTCAATTCCCAATCCTAGAAATACAATAAAGTCTATCAGGAACCCAAAAGGAAACTACAATCAGAATTGGAAGGGAGGAGACAGGCAAAGAAGATAGAACATCAGTAAATACACTGTTAAAAGTACATGGTAAGGCCAGGTGTAGGGGCGCATACCTGTAATCCCAGCATTCGGGAGGCTGAGGCAGGAGAATCTGTTGTGAGTTCAAGGACAGCCTGGGCTACAAAGTGAGCTCAAAGCCAGCCTGAACTGCACAGTGAGACACTGTCTCAAAAATACAAAAAAAAAAGTACATGATAGATGGATGTGATGGCACCCGCCTGTAATCCCAGAACTCAGGAGGCTGAGACAGGAGGACTGGCACAAATTCAAGGCCAGGTTGAACTACCTAATGAGACCCTGTCTCAAAAAACAAGTAAACAAAAGAAAAGCACATTATACTGTAATTTGATGGATTAGCTCATTTATTTAGGGCAGTTACAAAAAGTTGCTGATTAGCTTTTAATGTTACAGAGTACCGATATCAGAGAAGATATACTGTTTCTACCACATTATCAAGAATAAATGCAGGGCTGATCTCAAGAGAGATATTAAGCGTATTTTTATCTTCTGTGTCGGGTGAAGATATCCTGGGGTACTAAGGTTCACAGTGGGGCTCACAGATGTACTTACAGATTCAGAGATCTACACCTAGGTCTTAAGAGAAGGCTCCCACTGTGGTAAAAATCCATTAATGTGTCTCGCTTTTGTTTTTTCTTATAAAATACTCAAATAGAAACATTTTACATTTTACCATTACCATTACATTTAACAATCTCCTTAGATCTGCTACTTCCTATGAAAGATAAGTATCCTAGGACTCACACAGTTGTTCTGCCAGGTAGACGAGATTTTTACCAGAAATGCCTGGCCTGACCTTACAGAAGCACTTACCCCTTGGCATGTGCAGAGATGTGGCGTGGCCTGTCTTATCACTTTGCCACATTACTTTTCTATACACACTATAGTCATTTTCCACAGTAAATGAAGTCATTTCTGATCGGCAATTAGTGTCAACGCATATTATAGACTACTTCTCTGATTCTCACTACAAGTCCCTTTTATACGTGAGAAAAAGGAAGGCTCTAAAAATGAAGTTAACTGGCTCCTAATCATGCATCTAGCTGCACAATCAGATCCTACCTAGAGTTGTGCTTTTTCCACTGTACCGTGCTACTTGCCAAGACACCAGCACTTGAGGGCACATCTACGGAAATTCTTAGGTGCCACATATGTATCTATGTCATAAACTATTATCCAACTTTACTACTTTAGAAACTAAATCTGACTGATGTCACATTTCATTTGCCCATTAGAGACCTAAGTATCTGACAAAACACTGCCCTTTAAATCCTGCAGATGTTATTAATAAATTATTAGCTGAGCCAGTAATTAACTACATTTATAAGGAAACAACTAAACCATTAACAACAATATATATTAAAATACTGTACTAAGAGAATGTGAGGTAATTTCACTCTGGCATCCAAAGCAGAGTTTGGTGATGCTAACAGGATGCTATGGGGCAGTTCCTGAAACTACTGAGTTGCAGGTGTAATTCTTTTCACTAAAGCTTAGCACACAGACTCTGAATAGCTTTCCCAGGGTGTGGACAGAAAGCACACTAAAACCTCTCCTAACCCCACAACTCTGAGGGCCAAGTGAGCTGCACAGAAGAAAAGAAGCCGGGGGTTGGGGCAGGGAATATGTTCACAATTTCACTATTAATTACTGTCAGTATGGCAAAACTAAACACGAGTGTCAGGCAGAGCTATGTGCAAATTCTGGGTCCTCTATTTATTAACTTGTGCGACACTGGGCTAAGCCCAAGCCTCACTTTGCCCATATTATCACATACACAATTATCACCATCTGTATTTTGGACCCACCACAAGGATTAAATGAGCTAATATACGTAAAATATACTGTATTGTGCTTGGATAAACACTGAAAAAACATAAAGTGCTAAAAGTCATCTGTAGTGGATTGATAACTGGTGGTCAACTTATA